ATTCCCAAAGAGCTGCCATGTGGAAGAGGGGACACGCTTGTTCTGCCTGCACCCCTGGGGTCTCTGGGGAGCAGTTTCAGGTGGGCACGTTCATGGCTTAGAATAGTTTCTGACAGGCAAGTATTCAACAACAGACAAGGCTGCCCCACCCGGCAGTGTTCAGGCACAGGTGGGGCAGCTCCATTGGGGCCTGGTGGAGAAAATATTCAGGTCTGGGGGGGGTACCAATTAAGGGTCTTGGTCTTAGATTCAACCTGCTTTCAGCACCGGTTTCACCACTTACTATCCGTGTGACCTTGGGCAAGTCTGTTTCCTCTTATTTAAAATGGGGGTAATTATTGCCACCCTCAGGGTCCTGTGAGGATTAAAAAAGGGAGTGAGGCCTTCTAAGAGATGTGAATCCTGCCCCCAGGGAGCTTACTTAGAGTCTGGTAGAGAGCAGCAGAATCACAGAGAAAGGATAATGTGAAGCAACTTACGAGCAAGGACCGGCAAGAGTGGCCCAGAGGTCTGTGCTGGGGCGTTTCTGAGTATGGGCAATCAGGGAAGTAGGTAACACTTAAACTGAACCTTGAGACGCTGCCCGGGTCTGGATAAGTAGAGAGGAAGGAGTGGGGAGCTTCCAGGGAGGAGAGCATATAGTGGTCTATTAAGTACGGGTCTAGTAAGTAGCTATTTTTTTAAAATATCAATTTATTTATTTTTAATTTTGGCTGCGTTGGGTCTTCGCTGCTGCGCGTGGCCTTTCTCTAGTTGCGGCGAGCGGGGGCTATTCTTCGTTGTGGTGCACGGGCTTTTCACTGCGGTGGCTTCTCTTGCTGCAGAGCACGGGCTTTAGGCACATGGCCTTCAGTAGTTGTGGCTCACGGGCTTAATTCCTCCGCGGTATGTGGGATCTTCCCGGACCAGGGCTTGAACCCGTGTCCCCTGCATTGGCAGGCGGATTCTTAACCACTGCACCTTCCAGGGAAGTTCAGTAGCTATTATTATTACCTAAATTTCAAGGGCATGGCAATCTCTTTCCTTGGGCTCCCATGGCTCTGTGGGCACATTCCTGGCTCATGAGAGATGCTTGGTGCATGTTGTATGAGCAGGACTGGCTGCCACAGAATAGAGGGAGGTATGATTACATTCTAAGTGACCTGGGGAAAATAAGAGCGTCCTTCCATATAGCCATACACCTGTCCATCATTCAATAGCACACACATACTTACATACATATCCATCCATCCACCCATCTATCCATCCATCCATATGTTTCAGGCAGAGAACAAGACAAAGCCACTCGAAGCTTACGTCAAGGGGGGCAGGGCTTACAGATATGAACCAAATAATGACATGAATAAGTGTAAAACTGCAACTGTGGTAAGTGCTACAGGTCAAAGGGGTTCATGGTGCCAGGAGAATCCAAAACAGAGCAATTCAACCTATACAGGGAGGTCAGGAAAGTCTCCCCAAGGAAGTGACCACTGAACTGAGAACTCACGGGCAAGCTGGAGTAACTAGAAGAATTGGAAGTGTATTGGGGGTGGGGAATGTTTCAGGCAGAGAGGGCAGAGCACATGCCATGGCAAGATGAAGTTGGGGGGTGTCAGCCCGATGATGCAGGACCTCCTGGGCATGTTCAGGATTTCGATTTTTATCCTTAGAGGTTCTAAGCAAGCATCAGGTGACATGATCAGATTTGTATTTTTTAAAGACCGTCTGGCTATGGTTATAGAAAACGGAAGTGGGGGGATGGGACGGGCAGGTGTAAAACAGGAGACCTGTGAGAAGCCAATGTAGTTGTCCAGGAAATCCATGATGGAACCTCAGACTGGGAAGGGGTTGGGGAGGGGAGGAGTGCGTGAGGCCATTTAAGAGATAAATGGACATGATGGGGAGATGTGTGTGGTGGGAAGAATGAGGGCGAGGGAGTTGCCTAGGATGATACCCAGGTTTCTGGATGGAACTGTTGCCAGGCAACAGAGTGAAAGCCAGGAGAGCGCAGGGAAGGGGTGGGACACACTTTCCCTTGCTGTTGTTATGTCTGTGTTTGCAAAATAACGGTGTCAGGAGTGTGGGTGTGCACCGCTCCCTGAACGCCTGCTCGGGGGTGAGAAGGCTGGTTTAAGGAGGCTGCACGTTGCAGGCTGAAGAGCTGGGCCAGGGAGCTAGCCTCCCAGTCTTGGCTCTGCATCCAGGTAGCTGTGTGACCTTGAGGGGGCAGCTTCACCCCTGTGGGCTTCAGCTCTACAACTGACAGCCCTGCTGGTCAGGCATTTTAAGGGCATAAAGCAGACAGATGGGGCTAGGCAGAGCTGTGGGGATGGGCTAAGATCATAGACACAGGTGATGCTGAGCATCTGGGGGAAGAGTGATGAAGGGGACATCTGAAGCTGTGTCCTGCTGAGCTGGGGTCCTTTCTGACTTATTGAAGATGCCTCTGGTTATGCACCCCTGCTGTGACTCCTGGGTGTCCTCCAAGGGCTGCAAGATGCTCTCTGCAAAAAAGGAATGTAGAAAACCCAGCCTACCCCTGCAAATAAGACATGGAGACAAAAACCCGGTTGGAATCTCGCGGCTGAGGTTTCCACGGTGGCTCCACTCTGCTGCCCTTCCCATTGGCTGGGCGTCCTGCTCCGGCTTTAGCGACAGAGGCTCAGATACACATCTCCTTCCTGATTGGCCAGGCTGTGCTGCAGCGCCATAGCAACAGGGGCAGAGGGACCAGTCTCTGCAGAACAACTTGAGTCACTATCTACCTGGGGTGGAGCTGAGATCCAGAGGGCTGCTTGCAGGGGATGCAAACTGGTACAGGTAGCCCCCACCTCAGCTCAAATTCAGGTGGGGAACCCTCCTCCCTGGTTGTCCAGGGTGTTGGGAGGCTGCTGGGCTTCTCTGCCTCATCTCATCTATCCTGTATCTTGCAGCATCTTCCCAGTCCTTCTCTTGCTCCAGGGCTACTGTCTCTGCAGAAGGAAAACCAAACCTCTCGCAGTGCCAGCGGTTAACTCATTTGCCCAAAGTCACGCAAGTTACACGCTAGAACCTGAACCCGCATTATATTGCCTGACTTAAAGGCTTTAGAGGGTCTTTGGTGGAAAATCTAGGGGTCCTTTTTTTTTTAAATGGACTTTGTTTTTTAGAGCACTTTTAGGTTCATAGCAAAGGCACAGAGCTGAAGGTACAGAGATTTCCTGTAGTCCTCTCAGTTTTAGTAACAATCTTCCTTTAATTCATCAAACAGCTAATGCTTTCTAAAACACTCTCTTATCTGATCCTCCCAACAATTCTGTGAGTTTGGTAAGTAAGGGAGGAATGACCCATTTTATAGATGAGGACACCAGAGCCCAGAGAGGGCAAGTGATTTGTTGCATGTCACACAGCATATTTGTGCCAGAGCTGGGACTCCAACCCAGGCCTCCTGAATCCTTGTCAGGGCTCTACCCACAAACCATTGACTTATCCATACCGGGGGGCCTCCAGGAGGGTCGGAGGGATGCTCTGAGGGGTCCGCTCATCTGTTTAGAGAACAGTGGCTGAATCAAGCATTCCAATGTCTCCAACATGGACCAAGAGTTTCACATCATAACCCCAGTCCCTTCCAGGCAACTCCTAAATTTGGCTCTAGTCCCCAGGAAGGGTCCTTATTTCATTGCAAACCTTGCTGTCCATCCCCCTACATGGACAGGAGAAGAAACACTAGTAAGTGAACTACAATCAGTTTAACATTGCTCTGTGCTTGAAGCTGTGCTGAGGGCCTGCCTGACGCTTCATTGCAGCCTTGGGTCTTCACTGTCCACTGTTTACAGATGCAGAGGTTGGTGCTGAGGAAGGTCAGGCTGCGTGCCAAGGTCACACAGTCAACAGTGCAGCCACAATTCAGACAGAAGGCCCCCTGACTCGAAAGCAGGCTGGCTTGAACAGTGTGATGGGCTCTCTGATGCAGAACAGTAGCTCCAAGAGGCATTGGAGAGCAGAGTCTTTTGCTCTTGGGTGTGCATTTTTCCCTCAGTGGAGGCAGTGGCTGGACCTATTTTTTGTTGCTGGAAAAGACAAGCTCAGAGGATCTGCTTTGTGTTAGGGATTTAGAAATCCTTGGCCGCCAAGGAGTGACTCGGTACCCCCAACACTGTCTCCCATTGCCTAGTGTCCCAGGTTTGTGACCCTTCAGGAGGACGTGGCTGGGCAGCTGGTACTTGGCAATCAACACGGAGGAGAGAAAACCCAATGACTTCCTTGCTCTGAATCTGAGCCCCCGCCGAAAATGAATGTTTTGGCAGATTTCTTTCCTTCCTGCTCAGCTTGTGCTCCCAGAAGCTCTTGCCCCTGAAACAGAGGCCAGCCACCTGGCCTGCCCTCCTGCCCTCCCAAGGGTACTGATTTTGGAGGACACGGAAGGTGGGAGCTCATGCCCGCCACTCTGCTCCCCTAAGGCCTACACCAGCAAGGGGCAGGCCCACGAGTTCACCACAAGCCATGGTCTGCAGCATCTTCCCTGGGCTAGACACCCCACAGATGCTAGGGAGACGGCAAGGAACGAGCCATTATGGCCCCTGCCCTTGTGGAAGCTGCTGCCCAGTGGAGGAGAGGGACGGTGGGTCCATAAGTGAATAAATCGTGATTCCCGAGAGCAGTAAAAGCTGTGGACAGGATGAGACAGGGTAACGGGACAGGGAGTGACTGGTGGGGCCGGGGCAGGGTGGGGCGGGACAGCAGGTGTGTGTGTCCTGTTTCAGCTAGGATGGTCAGAAAAGGCCTCTCTGAGGAGAGGTGACATCTGAGCACATAGGACTTGGATGAAAGAGGGGAAACTTTTGCTAGGGGAAGTGTGAGGGGCTGTGGAATTTAGCAAATGCAACAAATGTCTGCTGAATCCCTACTCTGCCTCAAGGGACCAGAACAGATGGAGGACCTGCCCAAGGCACGGTGGCAACCCAGAAGAGATACTACCCAGGCCTGGAGAGCCAGGAAGGCTTCCAGGAGGAAGCAGCAACCCTTCGGAGGCCTGAAGGATGTCAGGTCAAGCACGGTGGGGCAGCAGGAGGCGTGGAGGCACTGAGATGGTTCCAGTGGAAGAACAGCATCTGCAAAGGCCAGAGGAGAGGGAGAGCTCGGGATTCTCAAATAAAGGCAAAGAGCCATTTCTGAAGCAGAGAGTTCATGTGGAAGAGAGGGAAAGGATGAGCTTGGGGCCCAAATGGGCCTCGGAGGCCAGTTAAACACTCCAACATTTTCCTGAATGCAGTCTGCATAGGACTGCCAGGTTTAGCAAATAAAAATACAGGTTGTCCTGTTAACTCTGAATTTCAGATAAACAAGTATTTTTTTTTAAAAGTAGTTATGTATTCAGTATTTTATTTATTTATTTTTGGCTTCGTTTGGGTCTTCATTTCTGTGTGAGGGCTTTCTCTAGTTGCAGCAAGCAGGGGCCACTCTTCATCGCAGTGCGCGGGCCTCTCACTATCGCGGCCTCTCTTGTTGCGGAGCACAGGCTCCAGACGCGCAGGCTCAGTAGTTGTGGCTCATGGGCCTAGCTGCTCCACGGCATGTGGGATCTTCCCAGACCAGGGCTCGAACCCGTGTCCCCTGCCTTGGCAGGCAGATTCTCAACCACTGCGCCACCAGGGAAGCCCACAACAAATAATTTTTAAGTATAATTATGTGCATGCAGTATTTGGAACATTCTTACACTAAAAAACCATTGTTTATCTGAAATTCAGTTTTAATGGGGCCTCCTGTATTTTCTCTGGCAACACTGAGTTTGGGCCCACAGAATCGTTTTAAGCAGGGGATGACGTGGTCGGATTTACATTTTGTGAAGCTCCCAGGATTTGTGGGGAAACACGCTGGAGGGAGACCAGGAAGCGGGTGGGGAGGATGAGGCTCCTGCCTTGTCCAGGCCAGAGAAGCAGAGGCCAGGGAACAGAGCATCTCATCATGTCACATGCCTCCTCCACTGAGAGGGTGGCCTTGGGTAAATCCCTCAGTGGATGCAGTCTCAGGCCGGTGACTGCAGACCAGGTCAGACCCCGGCTCTGCAGCATGAGCCTCTGGGCTGGTCTGCTCCCTCTGGGGCCCTCAGCATCCTCCTCTGTCAAATGAGGGGTTCAATCAGAAGAGATGGTCCAAGAGGGCCCTTCTGTTCCTGCCATCTTGGGCTCTCTGTCCATCCTCTGTCTGATGCCTCTCTGGGGTGGTGCCCCACCATGGTGACAAGTCCAAACCTTGCTCTTTCTTCCCTTCCAACATCACTTCAGCCGATGAATGCAAGAAACACCCACACACCTGGTTTGGGAGAAGGCACTCCAGAATTTGCTGAGGTCCTACTGTGTGATGAGCTGGGTCCTTTACATCATTCGTTTATGTTAATTCTCACAAAAGCCTCTCAGGGAGGGTATCATTATGCCCATTGCACAGATCAGAGAACTGAGAGCTCAGTGGTGCAGCTGCTGCCCAGGTCACACAGCTGCGTAGTGCAAACCTGGGGTGGAGTCCAGGTCTGGCCGGCGCCAGGGCTCTGTCCTCCACTGTCTCCAGGAAACGTCCCCGGGAGTCCCTAATCCCCCACATAGTTATTGCCAGGGCTCAGTCAGCAGTCTCCTTGTCCCACAGCAGGCACGTGCTGCCCTGGCTCTTTCTGAGTTAAGCCAGGGGCTAAAACGCATTGGTGTAATGCTCATCTGCTGGGGGCTTTCCGGTTTAGGAAGCCCTTTCCCATCTGTGCCCTCCTCACGACCCTTTGGGGACTCTGCAGGCCCCTCAGCCCATCTAGCCTGCCGCTCTGCCGCAGTGGAGTCTGCATTAAATATTAACGGGGCAGCTCCTGGCACCGCTGTGATGTCAATTACCGGGCTGCTTGATGAGGGCTGTGGCTGCCTTTCCAAAGTGAAGCAGTGCCTGGAACTCAGCTGGCTCAAATGGCGTCCCAGGGGGCCGCGGTCGGACTCAGAGAAGATGCCGCTAATGTAAGGCGTGGCAGGAGTCCAGGAGTTTTCCTTCCATCTCCCGTGCTCCCTCGGGGCCCGGCTGGCATCCTGATGCTGGCATGATGCCTTTAGTCATTCGGCAAATATTTATTGAGCACCTGCTGTATGCCGAGCACAGTTCTAGGCCCTGGGGATACAGTCATGAGTGTGATAAGGTCCCTGCATCATGGGATTCTCCGTCTGGTGGAGGAGAGGGAGAAACAGTCTCAACGCAGAGGGGCAGACCCAGCACTGTGCGCCAGAGCAGGTGCCCGACCCAGCTTGTGGCCGAGGGATCCTTCCAGAGGAAGCTACGACTATGCTGAACCCAAAGAAGGAGCCCGAGTTAGGTCTGGAAAGAGGAGGGGTGAGTGTTTCAGGAAGAGGGAACAGGATCGGAGCTCAGACCCTGGTTCTACCCCTTCCTAGCCATTTATCTGCAAGCTGGGTTTCCGCTGTACAGGGGTGTTATGAGGACCAAACGAAGCCATGGCAAGTGATGGCACAGGGCTTGATTCAGGACAAGAGCTCAGCAGTAGCTGTTATGAAAATAGCTCTGTGCCTTCACAGAATTCCTCACCATGCCATGGAGGCTGGCATGGCGAGATGAGAAACTGAGGCTCAGAGGGGTGACATCACAAAGCCCTGGGTAATATTGTGGATCAGACCCCAGGCTGGACACACGATCCCAGGCTCTGACGAGGGCTTTTTGACATTCTCTGGCCATAGGCAACCCAAGCAGTGGCCTCAGCTCAGCGAGACACAGAATACCACAAGAGATCTCAGTGTGAATTCCTCGGCCTTCAACACTCCCCATCTCGGCCTTCTTTGAGGTAAGGCTGCAGCTGTCCAAGGACAAGCCCAGGCCTTGGCTTTGGGGTGGAGCCTGGGCATAGACCTTGTTCTGCTGCTAATCTACTGTGTGACTGTGAGTGAATTTTCTTCCTTCTCTGAGCCTCAGTTCCCCATAGTTAACACTAAAACCAGCTGTCATTACCTGGGTCTCTGATCCTCCCAAAGAGCTGTGGCAGAGGAATTATTTTTAATTCCATATTAAGGATGAGGAACCAGGCCACATACAAGTGGGGGCTGGATTTGAAGCCAGGCCCATCTGCTGGCAGAGCTGACTAATGGCCCATCGTGCAGTGCTGTCTCTCAGAGAAAGAAAGCCAGCCTGAGCTGTCTGCAAGATCCTTAGTATGAGTCTGTGATTCTGTGAGTTCCATGCTGCCCCCAGGCCTTCAGGGCCCAGTGGTTTCACAGGGAGGGCATTTCAGCTTGGGCTGATTCTCCAACTGTCCCATATAAAGGAGGTAACAGGGGACTTCCCTGGTGGCACAGTGGTTAAGAATCCGCCTGCCAATGCAGGGCACATGGGTTTGAGCCCTGGTCCTGGAAGATCCCACGTGCCGCAGAGCAACTAAGCCCGTGCGCCAGAACTACTGAGCCTGCGCTCTCAAGCCACAACTACTGAACCCACGTGCCACAACTAATGAAGCCTGCGTGCCTAGAGCTCGTGCTCCACAACAAAGACAAGCCACTGCAATAAGAAGCCCGCACACCGCAACGAAGAGTAGCCCCTGCTCGCTGCAGCTAGAGAAAGCCCGTGCGCAGCAACGAAGACCCAACGCAGATACAAATGAATGAATGAATGAATAAATAAATGAATAAATAAATAAATTAAATAAAGGCAGTAACAGCACTGTCACAGGCTTCTGGCAGGCAGCACCCACTCTCTCCCTCATCCACAACCTCGTTCCTCCTGGCATCAGCCCCGGGGGTGGGAGGTTCAACGTGAGCGACAGGCCCACTTTATGGATGAGGAAACTGAAGCTCAGAGAGGTGCAGCGACTTGCCCAGGCTATCCCAGCTACTGCAGAAGAGCTGGGATTTGAGGCCGCGTCTGGCAACTCCAGATCTTATACTCCAAGTAACTGCAAGGTGGCCAAATTCATCCGGGAGACTTCCTCCTCCTCCTCCTCCTCTCAGCCCCCTCCTAGCCCCTGCAATCTTGCCTCCCTCCCCCTGGCTCTCTCCCCGGTCTTATCTTCCACGAGGCTGCCAGTCAGTTAGCTGTCAGCCAATTTAAAGCGTTTCCCTCCTGGAAGGCCTTGGCCACTCACAAAGAGGGCTCTTGTGGTGGCATTTCTGCAATAGGCACAAGGTGTGATCAGATTCGATTCAGCACTCATGAAGAGGGGCACCCCAGGGCCTCAGATGATGAATGAAATGCAGGCCCTGTCCTCCAGTGTTTACATTTTACGAGGGAAATGCCAACTTCCTTTAGAAGTGGGAAGCAGGTGGTATAAGTGACAAAGAGTGACTCTGCCCCTATTAGCTCCAAGACCTTGGGTAAGAGAGCTTCCTTTTCGCCATCTGCTTAAATGGGTACAAGGGGAATTCCCCACCTCACAATTGTCATGAGGATTAAATGAGATCGTGGATTAGATGAAATTGCATAGCACAGGGCTTGATGTCTAGTAGCTGGCCAGGAAACACCAATCCTACCAGAAGAAGTCCATGCAGGTGGTGGATTCCAGAGTCACAGTGGGAGTGAGCAGAAGGAGAGAATGCATCTTGGTGGAGACCAGGGAAAGCTGCTTAGAGGAGGTAAGATTTCAGCTGGGTATTAAAGACTTAGAGGAAGAGGTAGAAGAATGGGAAAGTTGGTAGAAACTTGTGGGCAGGCTCTGTGAGCCTGGTGGTCCTAGGATGTCCAGGAAGTAGGTGTTGAGCTTGGAAAGGTGGGCCAGGGCCAGGTCATGAAGGGCCAGGTGGAGAAGCTTGTATCTTTTAAGGGGAAAAGGGTGTCCTTGCTACCTATGACCTCAGCAGCAGCTCAGGGCTGTCTGCAGAGACCAGCCCCCTGGAGTCAGCCTTCTCCTCTGGCTTTGGTGCTGCCAGATCCCTTTGTCTCCTGAGTCAGGGCCAGCCCACTACTGTTGTCTGGAAGAAGACAGAAGGCTGTAGCAATCTGCTTTCCTCCTACTAACGTACTGAAGAGGAAAAGCTGTTTTGTAGCATAGTTGCCTGGCAGGGAACCTTGGTGGAAACTCAGCAAACCTCACCCTCACTCCCAAGGTTATGGTTTAAGCAGCAGTTGATGATAGCAGTTGATGTGTGCAGCTCAAAGACTGAAAGAACGTTTTCAGGTGCTCAGAAGGTCAGAGGCGGGCATGGAAAGAATGGTGATGGTGGAGTGGGTCTGGATCTGGGTTCCTGCCCCCTGCTCTCTGCACTGCAGTTGGGCAAGATACTTAAGCTCCCTGGGCCTCAGCTTCCACATCTGTAAAGTCAGAACAATAATACCGACATTTCCTTGACCAAGTGGGAGTGTGCTGGCCACCCGCTGCCCGTGGCCTGCTGTGGAGTAGGTCCTGCTACTTTCCTCCACTCCTTGTATGGATGTAGTCCAGACACTGGGCCTGTGAGGCATCCCTGCTTCACCCTCTTGAGCTGCCATGTCACTTGCTGAACTTCCAGTGGTGACATACCCTAGACCTTCAGAGCTGGAAAAAAGACAGAACTCTGCCATCCAAGCCAGTGTAGCCTCCCATTTCACAGACAGGAAATCCAAGAGATTTCAGAGACTGGAAGTCACCGCACTCCAGGCTCTGACCTCCAGCTTTCCGGGGACCACCACAGCCCCTCCCACTTGGGCCAAACTAGTGAGAGCCACACAGAAGCTTGAGGCAATTATCCAGATGGTTCCAGCCAAAGGATCTAGAAAATTCTGGCTAAGAAACACAAGTTTCTTGACCATCTGCCGAACTGAAGCAAAAGCCTTTTTCACCCTCATTTTAACTGCGATTCCATAGGCAACAGCTTCACTTTCTCCCCCAGAACTGAGCTCCTTTGAACAAGCTTGTGTGTGTGCGGGGCGGGGGGAGGGGGGGCGGTGGTGGTGGTGGTGCTGAGAACAGGGCTCTGAGCTCTGCCAGCTCACAGATTGCAGCTACCAGGACATTTTCACACTTCTTAATGCCAAAAGCTGCCATGGAAGCCAATCTGCTCCCAAAGCGGGCTTTCAAAGAGTGGCGGGAGGCTCTGGCTGATCCTAAAATCTGTGCACTCAAGCTGATCTTAGACACAGGGGGTGGAAGTTGGTATCAGTGAAAGGACACTGGGGCCCAGGCAGTTGGCAGAGAGTGGCCATGAGTGGGAGGCTGTGGGTGACCGCCTTGACCACTGAGTAAGCACCTGACTGTTCTAGGTCTCCCTTTCCATATGATGGGGTTAACAGCCTCTTTCCCAGAGTTGTGAGGATTTGGGGAGCTGGTACAGGGGGGTCAAGTGTTTACCCCCAAGCCAGTCAGACAGCCAGCAATTAACAGCAAGAGCTGCTGCTCCTGGTGGTGGTGCTATCATCACTGGCTTGGGATCAGCCAGCTCACCTGGGCAGCAGGAGGCCTGCATTTGCGGGGGTGGGGGAAAGAAAATTCTATCTGGGTGACATGAACCTGTGGGTGGGTGGCCCCTCCGTCTCAAGCCGGTAACCATGCTGACAGTGTGAACGCCATCTCTCCAGAACAATACCAGGGCTTTTTTGTAACACGTCCCTTGGCGTCCAGACTTCGCAGGGAGCTCAGAGTGTCCCAGGACACCCGAGGAAAAAAGCAGGACGTGCCTTTTCTGGGTCACCTATTCACGGGGCTCTGGCAGAGGGTTCTGGCAACGCTTTGGAAATCCAGTCCTGTGTGAGAAGCAGTCATTACCACTGGCTCAGGGTGGGGTGCAGCAAGGAATTTTCTACAGTTGTGATGGCTGGTGCAGGCAGGGTGTGAATGTGCTCTTGCCGAACCCCAACCCTAAGAAACAGGATGGTCAGTCCCATTTAAAAGGGGCTTCCTGGGGGACGGTGCGATGAAATGGGCGATTGGGACTGACATGTATACACTGATGTAAAATTGATGACTAATAAGAACCTGCTAAGGACTTCCCTGGTGGCACAGTGGTTAAGAATCCACCTGCCAATGCAGGGGACATGGGTTTGAGACCTGGTCAGGGAAGATCCCACATGCTGTGGAGCAACTAGGCCCGTGTGCCACAACTACTGAGCACGCGTGCCTAGAGCCCCTGCTCCACAACAAGAGAAGCCACCACGATGAGCAGGCTGTGCACCGCAAAAAAGACCCAACACAGCCCAAAATAAATAAATAAATAAAATTAAAAAAAAAAAAGAACCTGCTGTATAAAAATATAAATTAAATTCAAAAATAAAAGGGGCTTCCCCAAGGGTACTCAGCTGGTAACTGGCAGAGCAGGATTTAGACCTGAGTTCAGATCCTATTCCCCATCACATCACACACATGTCCTTGGATAGCTGGGGGGAGAGTGTTGCTCTGTTCCCTGAGTGAGACCCTGCCAGGTAAAGATGCAGCAGACTTGGCCCCTGCTCTGGGTACCTGCTCGGAGCTCTGGGGGCCACACAGTGTGTCTGACCTTGATCATCAGCCCCCTTCCCCTGGTTCAGAGGCCCTCTTGGAAATTGTTCAAAAGCTACATTGCTTGATAGGACTTAGAGCCCTGGGAGTAGGTGACCTATCCAAGGTGGTCATCCTGGCTTTATTTACAAGACTTTGGGGAGTGGGCAGCTCTCTCCCGAGGGTGAAGGAGATGGATGCTGATAAGTGTATAAGCTACAAGAGGGAGACTTTTGCGTGCTTTTTACAATCTGAATGACCCCCAAAGGGGAGTCACACCTTGACCCCTTGTCAGCTCACACCTCACAACATTGTGGGGCCATCAGGCCTAGGAGTCTGACAGAACTGAGCTTGAATCCTGGCTCTGCTGATTACCAGCTGTGTGATTTTACTCAAGACATGGAACATCTTCAAGCCAGTTTCCTCATCTGTAAGATGGGAATGGAAATCCTACCTACCTTACAGGGGTATCTTGAGGGAAAAAATATGCCCATCTCTGCAAAGCACCTGGCCCAGTGCTGGCAACGTGGTAGATGTCCCCTTCCATTCAAGAGTGGGCGTGGATAAGGTCGCCCAGGATAAGGCAGAGAGCCTGGGCAGAGCTCTGAGGAACCCCCGAATTTCCAGGTAGGCTGAGAAGACAAGCTCACACAGGAGACAGAAGAGGAGTGGCTGGAGCAGCAGAGGGGAGCCAGGAGAGTGCAGGGTCATGAAAGCTAAGAGGAGAGCCTGTCAAGGAGGGGCGAGCAGTTGTGCCAAGTGCAGCCAAGAGGGCCAGGAAAGTGAGGACTGTGCAGTGACCTTGGATTGGTGGCCACAGCAAGGGCCACCTAGATGGAGGAGTGGGGGTAGAGCCAGAGTACACTGGGCTGAGGTGGGGGTGGTGGGTGGGTGGTGAGGAGGTGGAGACAGTGAAGTTTGGTGAGAAGGAAAGCAAAGCTTTATGGGCGAACCAAAGTTGTCCCCCATTTGACATTTATGAAAGTCAAAATCAGTTATTTAGAATGCTCCAGTCTATCTGATTTTTACTGTTTTGAAATCAATCTCAGTCCAACATGATCAGAAGTTAGAAGGGCTCTAATCCCTCTAAGGACTGGAAGGAACTGTGGAGGTCCCCCCAGTGCTGGCCCTTCTCCCACCTCTCATGGGAATCTGTCCTCATCAGGCCCACAGTGGATGATAAGTTATTATCTACCACACTCTTTAACGATATTCACAAGGGGAAAGATCAGCCTGGTTTGTTAACCTCGATTCCATTTGTAGTTAGCAAAGGTGAATCCTCAAAGCATGGAGAAGCCTGGGGTGGGGGTTTCCTCCCAAACGCTGTGTCATGGGTACTGAGGTCCTCACTGTAGCATCACAGCAAGTAGCAGGCAGCCCAGGAGGCAGGAGACCTAGTATGGAGGTCCCAGCTCGGCTGGCTGTGCAAACTGGGGTCAGCCTCTCCTCCCCCTGATACCTCACTCTCCCCTTATGCAGGATAAGGGGTTGGACAGTGGTGAGTCTAAGGGTCCTGCCAGCTCTGACATTCCAGGATTTCTCCTATTCTACAGTGCTTTAAACAGTCCTTCAAGTCCAGTTCTCCAGATGGTGAAACTGAGGTCCAGAAAAGGCCCACTCTCCAGTCCCTCCCTCTCTCTTCTAATGCATCTAACTCTGTGGAGCAAGATTCTGGGCCTGAAATATGGCTTCCATGCCTCTGGTGGCTCCTGATTACTTAAGGATAAAGCCTTAAATCTTCAGCCTGGCACTGAAAACATTCCATGATCTTGTTCTACCCCACCTCATGTCCCACTGCCAGGCCTCTCTCCTCCCCGTTTTGTTTCTATCCTCACTACCAAGCCCTCACCCTTGCGGGACCCCCCTCCCTAATACCTTTTCGCTGACTCTCACCTCCTTCAAGGTCCAGCTTACCTGCTCTTCGGTTTTCAGACCTCCAGTTCTCAGAGGCAGGGGCTGTATCTTACTTATTCTGTGGCTACTCCTTCCCCCAGTGCTGAGCATGCAGTAGGTGCTCAATAAAATGCTCAGAGATGCCCCTTCGCCTGCACTCTCCTTGGCATGTTGTACTAAGTCTGGCCATGCTTTAGTGATTGGGATTTTCCTCCCTTGTCCGGGACCCAGACCAGCGCCTGGCACCAGGGGTCCTCAGCATGGAACGCCAGGACTGGGCTCAGTGACCAGCTGGTCCACTCTCCTCTTTGCCACAGGAGGAACCTGCCATCACTTACAGGCTGTGTAACCTTGAGCAAGTCACTAGTCTGGTTTTGACAGATGGGGAGGCCAGCAGGGCCCACCAGGGGTGGAGGGTTGTGAGCATTAAATAGGATCATACCTGTAAAGGCCTAGCACCGGGCCATCTCCTAGCAAGTGTGTGGTGACTCTTACCCGTCCCAGCGGGGCCACTCAGTCTCTCCTCCCGTGGAGGGCACAGTCTGCACAAGGCCACTTCCCAGGACGGGGACGCAGTGAGGGAATGTACATGGGGCTGTCCCCAAAGGCCGGACCTGATCCTGCCCCGCCAGTGTTGACCGAAGCTCAGGGTGTGGCCCCCAGAAACCCATCGGCCAGGCTGGGCGGGGGCGGGTCCGGGGCACATCCGTCCCTCTGGCACGCGGCCTCCTGGCTTCCCCAAGCACTAGGTTTATTTGCTTTTGGGGCCCTTCTCAAGCCAGACCTCTAACCTGGACTCAGAGACGCCTTTCCGGGTGGGGTCGTGACAATGCGCACACTGCACGGCTGCCATCACCGAGGCCCCCACCTCCTGCCCCGCTCCGCCGTCCCAACCCCAGCCCTCCCCTCTCCCACCTCCACCTCTGCGGCGGTAAAATGCAGCACTCGCTAGGCGCCTGCGCGGCTCTGGGGCGGGGCGGTGGCCTCAGCTATTTATAGAAGGTGACGTCACCTTGAAATAGACCGCTAGGGCTGGCCCGCCCTTCCCCCCCCCACTCGCGCAGCTCCGCGCCGCCCGGCCCGGCCGCTCCCACTGCGCAGGCGTCCTCTCGTCCTCCCATCCCCCAGCGCAGCCGCCTGTCCTCCCTAGGCGGCGTCCGCGGCGCGAGCCATAGCGCGCGGGGCGAGCCAGCGAGAGGGCGAGCGGCGCTACCTGCTGCCTGCAGCCTCGGCCGGCCGGCGAGCCAGTGCGCGTGCGCGGCGGCGGCCTCCCCTGCGACCGGAGAAGACGAGCGGGCGAGCTAGCGGAGCGGGGCGCGTGGCAAGGCAGGGCTCAGCGACATGGGGGACCGCGAGCAGCTCCTTCAGCGGGCGCGGCTGGCCGAGCAGGCGGAGCGCTACGACGACATGGCCTCCGCCATGAAGGCGGTGAGCGCGCCGGGAGCCCGGGCGGCCGGCCGGGGGCCCGGCGCAGGGGAGGGGTGGGCAGCCGGGTGGCGGCCCCCTCTGGGCCAGGGGCAACCCCGCTGCCCCACTGGGCGCGGCCGCCCGCTCTCAGCCTGCTCTTCCCGCGCCCGCCGCGCGCCCCGCCATTTCCTGCGGCCGGGCCTGGGGGGTGTCCAGGGAGGGGGCGCGGCGGGGACCCCGCGGGTGGGCGGGGGGCGCGGCATCCCAGCTCGGAGCCGCGGGTGGGGGAGGGTGCTCGAGGGAGGGTGAGGGAGCCGCATTTCTCCTCCTGGACCGTTCTGCCAGACTGGGTCACCCCTTCTCGCCTTCCTCCACACACCCCAACTTGTAATAAAGAATCACCTAGTGAGTGGCGCCCTGTCTCTCCTGGTTTCCTCTGCCACGACCTGAACTCGGTGTAATGTCGATCCGCTTTTGCTCTGATCGCCGGCATCGTTCTGGTTCCATTCTCCCGCGCCCGGGGTCCGCTTTGTGTGCGGAGACCCCCCATCCTGAAGTCCGACGAGGACGCGGGCGGGAGCGCGGCGGCCCTGGGGCCCCCTCCCAGGTTGGATGTTGCGCCCATCTGCCCGGAGACTAAAACGGGTCCTGACGCCTGGGGGAGGCGAGCCCTTGTGCCTTTGCCTTCCCAAGATCCCTGGAGACTCGTCTGCAGCTCCATTTCCGGGGAAGGAGTCGCGGCCGGCCACACCCTGGCCAATGCGGTGGATTAGATACCACCTGCGTGTCTGAGACCTAGAGTTCCGGTGACCATCCCACTGTCCCTGTCTCCTCACAGTAGTTCACGTTTTCTCTTAATGAACATTACTTATCTCTGCGTCAAGGTCACAGAGGGGTAGAGCCACAGCTGCGGCCGTCAACGTGCCATGTTCACCCAGTGCACAACCTCCTGAGACTTGGGAGGATCCGCCGGGGCCCCACCCTAGACCTACAGACTCAGAGACTCGCAGGGGTGGGACTCAGATCTGCACTTGAACCAGCCCTCATGGCAAGTGCTATTGGGTTTAAGTTCAGGAATTACTGCCCTGGGTTATATAGCTCATTTGCCCTTCTTAGGGCCTTGGGAGAGGATTTCCTAGAGAAAAAACGACAAATATCGAGGCTCCGTAAAATTTCAGAGTCATGTGAAAAATTCCTTTTAAAGCTTTTCATATTAATATATGAAACATGTTGTTGAGGTCCGTGTTTAGGATTATCCAGGTAAGAAGTGTCATCTTTTCCATGTCGTTCACGTCACACGTTGAACCAGGTGTTTGGAAACCACCACCACCCATTTGTTGATTCATTGGTGATGCGGAGTTGATCATGGTGTTGTGGGCCAGGTAGGAGCTTTCCATCCAGACCAGGGACGATTTAGGTTTGGGACCTGAAGTCTGTGTAATTCTGGGGGTCTTATAAGAAAAAAAAAGGTAGGGTATATGAGTTTAGCAAATTTCACAGAAACAGGACTGACTGAGTGCATTTCCTTGGAAGGGGTCCTGAGCTTAATCTTCTTTGGGATAAAACCACTTCTGTCCACACAGCAAGTGACACTTAAGTGCACCTCTTCTCCCCAGTCACCGAGTGGGACTGGGATTGTGCGGTTGAGGCTGCTTTCTGGACATTTTATCGAGGCCCTCGCCTATCCTGCAAGTGGGACTTTGAAGGCCGCAGTTTTAGGAGCCTTTTGGGGAATAAAGAAGGGATGGGGCTGGAAGCAAAGTGAATTGTGGCTAAGGAAAAATGACTAGAAGGTAGTTCTGGAGCTATAGGAAACCCGAGGCAACTTGAAATTGGAAGTAAGGAAAGAATGCAGAGATGTAACCGAATGGAATACAGTTTGTGGAGAGAAAATAATTGGTTTTCTGGTCTTCGAAAGCAGGCTTGAAAGATGCTTTCCTGCAGCTACCTACTTGTGTACACAGATTTTCTCTGAGACATTAAGATAGGATTTTGCAAACTAATGGACCCTTTCATGTATTGGGAATATGTAATATCTGTATCTGAGATGATTGATGGGTTGGATAGGCCATTGAAAATTCAGTGCATACTCTAATTATGTCATTTCAGAATTGTGATAAACATTCCCTCAAGGTAACTCCTATTAATATATAAGAACTTTTTTGGTCAGTATGCCTGTTTCTTCTATTAAATAATTTTTTTTTCTGGTCATCTAAATTAATGGAATATATTTATTGGAAAGGACTTGGCAAGGGTCAGTGAAAAACTGTTTCTCATGTTTTACCTGTTACGTTGATGTTTGTATGTTAAATTCTTAATGTTATTGAGAAGACTCAGTCCCTATTTCATTAATATCCTAGACCTAAAATATAGCCTTTGGAAAGATTTGGACTTCTGATAACCCTCTGGGCTTGTGTGGGTTTTCTTCAGGGCAGGTAAGTAGGTTTCTCTACCGCACCTGAGTGAGGGGATGTTCTGATGTCACCACTCTGTGACCTTGAAGCTCACATCTCTTGTCTTCTGGTCCTCTGAAGTGTGTAAGTTGTAATGTTGGTGTTACTATCAAGTGGGCTTTCAGCTTTCATTCTAACTTGTTTTCTGTTTCCTTTATAATTTAAATGGTAGCTAATAATATTGCCTGCCTGTAATGATTGATGTTCCGTATGCTACCAGCGTCACCTGGAGGATGCTGTCAGTAAGGCTTTAAGAAATCACGCATGTTGGAAACAAAGGTGTTGGCTCACATCAGTTGAGAACTGCAGTTCCCTGCCTCTCGTCCTAATTTGAAGAGGCAAGAAATGTTTTTGAAGTGAAGTAAGGACGTTTCTTCCAGCTCTCCCCCATCTCGTACCTTGTCCCTTAAGTAGAAAGAAACACTGTGAAAGATTCTCGAACCCAAGTCCTTTCTAGACCAGGCATGGAATGCCCTTATACAATTCATAACCTCTATAAAATGAGTACAGTACCATCTTATGAGAACTATGAGATAAACCCATAAAGTGGCATAAAAATATTTGTGCATAATACTAAGTGATTCTAAGGAAAGAGGGTAACTAACCAGATAGATTTCTAGTGAATATTCATGGACAGACATAATTCAGTCATGTCACTTATTGCCCTTAGTCATCTTTTATATTAAAACATAGGGGCAATCATGAAGTTTTAAAATGTCAGAATTGTTTGGGATGGCATGGTGTGTTTTAACATCGATTACAAAGTTGACAAAGGACGGGGAGAAATATGTCTGAAGGGCTTGAAGAATATCTGTAGCAATCTTAAGTGCAGGCAACAAAGCTGCAGCTTAAGGAAATGGGTCGGAGGGCAAGAGGTCCAACCAGTGGCCAGAGGCTGTTATTCCAACAGCTGTGAGATCCCGGGAAGTGGGGAAGTGAGCAGGTGGTATGAAAAAGGGGAGCACAGCTGAGTGGCCCAGGGTGAGACCTAACCCATGTTGCAGTTATTGAAACTAGGGATGATTTTGATGTGTACCAGAATTGTGGTTAGTGTGACATCTTAAAGCCACATTGGTAGTACCGTTTAAAATCTATGTAAAATAGTAAGTCGTGTTTCCCATGTAAGTATCGCTTTGTCACGTATTGACTGAGGAAGGAAGAAGTCTCTGCATTATTCTTGCAATATTTTCAGTTAAAAGACACTTCGATTGGTGAACAGTTCACATAGCTTTGCTGCACTGACGTGGGAGTTGTGGTCCCCATCTGGATTTGGGGTTGCTGCATTATCCCCGGAAGAGCTCCCACAGTCAAGGACCTCACTACTCCCTTAAGGAAACCAAAAATGTATTTTCTCATCATTGTCTGGAATTTAATATTAGTGGTAGACTGCAGTGTCACACTTTTCCAGAAAAACAGTTTGGGAGGGGATACCCCAGATGTGTTTTCCATGTTACAATTCATCAGGTTTATGAAATTTATCATTTTACCTATTAGGCAGTTAGTAAATGGTAGCTTTTATTCCATGTGTACATTTTCATTTAATCTTGAGAACAACTCTGGATGGATCCTGTTATTAACTCCATTTTACAAATGAGATTTGAAGAGATTAATTTTCTCAAGGTCGAGTTGTAAAGGGAAGATTTGAACTCTCAAATTTAGAGCTATCACTTTAACCACTGTGACAATGCCCCATGAGGCTAAGGAATCATATTTCTATCTAGTATACTTTCTGGTCTATTAGCCATTGTCATCATTGGTGACTAAGTTCCAAGCTGTTAACATAAGTGGGCTTATTGAACAAATAATTCCCTCTATTAGATGTAAGTCATTTTTGCCAAGTTTGATTAAAAACAGAGTCTACCACTTACGGTTCTTAGCTGCAGCAGGGGAGCATGAAAGGCAGACTCATCTGGATTGTGCTGTTCTCTTGAAGACCAGTTTTTTTTGCTTAAGAAGCAAAGTATTAATTGAATTTGAGTTCTTGCTATGAATTGAGAAGTGCAAGGCTATGATACATTATAGTTGTTTTAGGAAATTGTTTTTCCATATTGCTTTTAGTATATTTTGTAAGCCTAGAGGCCCCCAAATTTCAGTGTCTAGATTGTTGGTGAGATGCTCCCAAGTGCCAAGGTTGAGGCTGCCCCTCCCACTCCTCACCGCAGTGGCATCCCCTCCTTGGTGGTGGGTGTTGGCGCTTCCCTGTGATCGGAACTGGCACAGCTTCTGAAGCCTTCGGTCCTGGTGCCTCAGGGGCAGTAGGGTAGAGTGATGCTGTTCAGATGGGGTTATATATAATGCCTGCCAAGACCTGTGAAAATGTTTACTTATGTTCAGAGCAAGACAAAGGTGGTCTCTTAACGATACAGAGGGAGCTATTTTGACTAATGTTAAGCTTAGAGTGAATATTCATAACCTGAACTCACCTGCTCTGAGCTTGAAGCTGGCCCCTCTCCCAGCCTTGCAGAACTGTAGCCTCGCCCTGGTTTAGACAGAGGGCAGTCTTTCCAGGCTTGGGCAAGTGGTGACCAATGGCAGGTGCTTTGCCAGCTGGGGTACAGGCAGAATCCTCACTTTCGGGGCATTAACTTGGGAAACAATCAGCCAAAAAAGCTTTCATCCCTCGGGCTTCCCTGGTGGCGCAGTGGTTGAGAGTCCGCCTGCCGATGCACGGGATGCAGGTTCGTGCCCCGGTTCGGGAAGATCCCACATGCCGCGGAGCGGCTGGGCCCGTGAGCCATGGCCGCTGAGCCTGTGTGTCCGGAGCCTGTGCTCGGGAGCAACGGGAGAGGCCACAACAGTGAGAGGCCCCCATCCCGCAAAAAAAAAAAAAAAAAAGCTTTCATCCCTCAAGCTCACTTTTCTTTTTTCTTTTCTTTTTTTTTTAATATATACAGGGTTCTGCCAAAGAAGCTTAAAGATTTTATGATGTGGTTATGTTTACATAATTATTCATGAGGATTGTTTTTTTCTGTTATAAGCTCTTATATCAAAAGCAAGCTTGCTGGTAGCATGTGGGTGTGGGTAGCTATAAAGTTTGGGGTGGTGGCTGTGCTGTGTGTGTGTAGCTGTGAAGGATGAGAGCGCTGTTCAGGAGGAGTCGCATCCACCCCAACTTGAGCAGTGTGGCTTGGCAGCTCAGGGGTGATGTTTTTTTGTTTGCTCAGTGTTCCTTCTGAGGTTGGATGTTTCCCAGATTGAGAACTTTAAGTTTTCCCAAATAGTCCCTGGGCTGTTTTTGGCAGCGGGTCTATTTTTACTCACACACACATAGTCTATTGCCTTGTGAGTTAGTGGAAGGAGGCCCTTAGGGATTTTTGAGTAAGCCAGTGGTGTCATAGGAAGATAAATGAATGCGTAGCCGACCAGGTTGTTCGTGACTTTCAGAAATGCTGTGTAGTCCAGAGCAGAGAAAATGGGTGAAAGGAGTTGGTGCAGCCACAGGCTGCGTGGTGAGGACCTACATGAGCAGAATGGCTGGCAGGGAGTCCAGTCCTCAAAGGAGATGAGAGGAGGGCCTTCCTGAATGGGAAGAGTCCATCAATTTAAGGTTTTCAGGAAGCCTGTAAGTAGGATTACCTGGGGTGGGGAGGTGGACAGGAGAACAAGACAGCAGAGTGGCTGCAAGCAGAGGTGGTAGAACCCCTTGCAGCTGGTATAGCCACGTGAAGATATAATGTCTGGGGTGGCCGCACTGGGCGCAGCTGGTGTGCGACGGAAACGAGAGTGTTGAAACTGGCATTGGAGTAGAAAGAAGGTTGAGAACCTTTGTCTGGGTCTCTTCTATCTCGAGAAATCCGTGTCTAGTCTTTGTTCCTTATTAGAAACCATCTGGAAACTTGTGATTGTTGAGATGCAGTAAATCATGTCCGTAGGCTCTGCAGATGGCCATCCCGCTGGTTTAGTCTTGGTGGTTGGG